CAAAATGGTATTCATCCTCTACATTAGATAAACAAAACTCGCATATTCTTTCATCAATTTCCAACCCTGTATAGCGCCCCTCTTCAATGCGCAATCTATGACTAGAACAGCGAATACGTGCGAGAGCATGTCTGTGTTTAGCCTCTGTGACTACAAAAAGATATCCTTCTGGTTCAAGCATGGTTTTAAAACTACAATATGACCTTAGTTTGGCAGTGCAACATAATTCACTGTACCAATCCTGCCTATGAATATCAATTACCCGCTGCTTGAACTGTACCAAAAACATGTTTACATCCTTCCTTAATTAACAATATATGTGTTGTCAGACTACTACAATAATTCAATATTGTATTAGTTGTCTGAGTTCTAACCTATACTATACATATGTACATAAACAGTAACATAAAAAACTATTCCTTTTCACTATTAAACGATTCCTTACGTTAAATACAGACTTCTAGTCACGTGATTACATAAAGATGACATTGAGCGCATACACATGACACGAGGTTATCGGTTAATTTCGTATCTGTTTTGTTCACCAGACCAGACCAGAATTTCAAATTTCAATCAGTCGTTTGCTCATGGGGAGGTGAGAGAGTTGGCCTATGTGAGTTTGGTGAGTATTCAAATGTAACAAGGTTGTTTTTTATGAAATAATGCTTGCCTCGATCGTGACATTGGCGCTACTCGACACGATTTCCGTTTATCGATACAGTTTTTCTTCTTTTTTTCTGCAGTTTTATGTATCGCCACTAATCCCCGTTTTTGACTCGGCAAATTAATTGTCAATAAAATGTAATGTTAATATTACTACACAATATCTGCTATAGAAATAAAAATCAGTGTGTAGATTTCAATATTTTGAGCGATGTGTGAAGACGGGTTCAAGGTGGATGTAATTTCCATTTGATATTAGTATACAACAAATGATTACAATTGAAACAAATTCCCGAAAACGTCCGAAACCCACGCTTATTTTCAAATAAATAGGCTTATTGTTATATTATTGATAGTTTCAAACAAAACAAATTGAGTGTACAGTGTATTAAATCCCAAATCTGCATGAAACTCAAAAACATGGTGTGTTGCTAAAATTGTTAAAATAACGAAACATCCATAATAAATCAATTTGTTGAAACTAGTCTTATAATGTGAGATATCAGTTGCCTTTTTTAAAAGGACTCATTTGACATCATCAATATGTATTAACTAATTTATTTTTTGATAATATTTTAATAATTATACATTCTTTTTCTCTTTTTCTCTCAATAGATTGCAGCTTGACGAACAGGTGGTGTATCAATGGTTACGGTGTTCAGACACAGGATAGTTGTAACTGCACCTGTTTGGATGGTTGGACTGGCGCGCTATGCGACGGTAGGTTGACTTGTTAGTGACGATAACAGATTGGTGTAAACAAAATTATATGTTCCTGTAATGGTCGAAAGAATTTGTTTCGTATTTTGATGGTAATGAGATATGACGAACAGAAAAAATCGATATTGTTGATGGTGCCAAAACTCGAACAAATTTGCATGTGCCCCGGATTTATCTAAAAATAAAGTAATTCGTGAAGCGCGCGTTTCTGGTTGCTTCAAACGAATACAGCTATATTTATTGGCAAAACTTTATCATTTTTACAAAATCTCGTACTATGTTATTCTTTTTCTCTTTAACTCAAATACGCGGACATGCAATCAATCAAATCGTATATCCAACACTACGATAAAGATATTCCGTTTTAGACATTGTGAATTTTTCTTGTAAAAATACCTTACAACAACTGATTTTGAGAAAAAATGAAAAAATATATAAAGAATATATCATAACGAAATGTAATCCATGTCCACGCCAATGATAATTTTCATTACCGATTACATAAAAATATGACAGAAATATGTCTTAAATTATGATTGAATGAAATTACAAACTATGTAGTGTGTTCAACAATTCATATATAAACAGTAACTTCTGCATAAAAACAAAGAAAATTTCACAATGTCATAAACGGAAAGTTTGTATTGCAGTGTTGTTATATATTCCTATGAAATCGTCCATCAAAATTACTGTTGTCACCACACAGGCATGATTTTCAGAATGTGAATATAAAACAGTTTTAATCGTTTTAGAATTTGCCCAAATGACGTCATAATACCGGGCACGATTCCTCATGTGTTCATATATTTCACGCATTATAATTGTCATTATCTGTAACTTTTTCAGAACCTATAGTAAAAAGATCTGTCAGGGTAAGTGTTGTTGAGTACCATTTATATTGTCAAGTAGCCACTTATATTATATATAAATACATGCACAAGTAAACTTTTTAAATTTCGTTGCGTTTTATTGTCATTTATTAATTTGCATAGTAAATTATGCAAAGGTCCACCATTGAAATGTTGTGCATATCAAGTATATCATTGTTAAAATTATATTGAGATATAATCTTATTTTCTAATTCTCAGTGCCTCGAATAGCGTTTATATTATATGACGTCATTAAGCATAACGTATTATGATTAATTATTTATGCAGACGTTCTAAAAAAAAGAAATACAATATAAAGTGATATCTACTATGGCGTTGAAATAATTTAATACTTTATTCTACTTTGAGATTCACAATAAATAACTGAAATACCCAAGAAACGAAATTATGATTGAAATTGTCGTTATCGTATTTGCATGTTATCTACGTCAGTTCTCTCTTAGTAAGAATTTGTAAACGCGACAAATGATAAACGTCCCAATTTACCATGGAAAACATATATATAAACAACTCTACTTATGTTATGGTCGATTATTTTCTTGCATTTTCGCAATCACTTCTAAGAGAAAAGAGAATTGTTCATATTGTATAACTCCCAACTTCATCGATCCTAGAACATCGAAAATTGAAGTAGTAATTAATGTAATTTATCATTATTCGCGCACAGAACAAGGAACAAGCTGCCGTTGGAGGTGCAGAGATTCACAATAAAGGCAATGGTGCGAAAGGTGGACATATGATAGGTGCAATCAAGGGTCCAAATGGTAAGAAAATCATTCAATTGAATTGTTTGAAAATAATATTCCTATTTGTTTTAAACAGCATGTTAGACTGTAATTTTTAAATAATGAATTATATTGTTTTCGTATTATGCAATATTCATTGAAAGAATGTCACTTAATAAAACCCGCGTTATGTAACATGTTGCATACTTTTATGTATCAGTCTATAATTTTTGTAAATTTGTTATCATACGCAAATAATTTCCCGATCACAGTTTTGAAACAAAAATTAAAAGCAGTTGTATTGTTGTTTTAGTTGTTTTAGTCTCCGGCTGCTGATGATTACCAGATCGGATTGTGGTTAATAGTTAACTAAAATTGTATTTTTTACAGCATACAAGAATACTCGTTCTATGATAAATGTAAAAAAAAACTACTACAAATAACTACTACGCATGCGTACAATCGACAAGCGTGTATTAAAGAATGTCATTGTTTTATCGAGCAAACACCTAATTGTACATTCCACGAGTAAAGTGGTAAACCATATAAACTATATAATTTACACTCCATTGTAAATTACCGTAATTATAAAAAAAAAAATATTGAAATTGACTTCTTCCCATCCATTATATATCATTATTTTTAGTTGTTGCAGTTTTAATATCACTGATATACTTACAATTCGTTTTATTTCAAATATTTTATCACTATGTATAAAACATAGTCGTGTGGGTTATATAATACACATTACCTTTCACACATTTTGAACTAGAACAAAATGAAAAAACAAATCATTCTAGTTCAATTTGTTTTTCTAAAAACATAACCTCAATATTTAACTGAACTTACATGGTATTGTAAATATATTAGTCACCTGTGAACGTGACACACACCTGTCCTAACACCGACGGGTATTTTATAGTTGTTAGAAATAAACAACTAGTCTACTAGTATATTCGAGGAACCACGAAGAAATTGTACATGTCATGCAATTTAGACAAGAGCGGTTATAGCTATGTTTCTTTGAAGACCCGGTGTCGAAAATCGTATAATTATATAACAAATATAAAATAATAAGCATAACCAAAGTCAATTGTGTACGTTCGTTTTACTAAAATGACGTTCATGGATCACGTGAACTTTAGATTATGATTTTTTGTATCAGTAAAACAACATAAATTCCAGACATAAATTATAGAATACTTTCCATCGTGAGTTTGTTAGGACATATACAGGTCCCATGCTAAAATTGAACTGTCCGTAAACGACATTATCAATCAATTTTAAATAAGATCAAATATTCAAAAGTTTACAAAATAAAAAAGCGTGATTTATCTTGTTTTCAAACCAAACAATATACAGCATCATCACAGTGTTAAAAGTCTACAAACATGGAGCTGATTCAAAAGTTGTATTGGCAAGCAATCGTTCGCATCATAACTGTATCAGTACTAGACCACCATTTATTCACCCAAACCAGCATGTTTTCGCAGAATAAAACCCAATCACTGACTAAAGGCTGACTTCATATTAAAGTGTGGTAGTCGTTGCGCCGCACATGCGCGGGATATAGGTCTCATATAAACAAAGATGACGATTTTGACTGTTGCGCACACCAGTACACAATGAGAGGTTCCCAAGCTTTAATTAGGTATTTTTTTGGTGTTTGGAAGGTATGGAAGGAGTCGCTGGCGGTAATTAGGACAAAACTCGTACTCGTGATTTCATTAGAAAAGCGCATTGGATTATGGGAAAATCAACACAAATGTCGCACATGCGCGGCGCAACGACTACCGCCCTTTAACTAAAACAGTGTGGAATGCATGCATGCTATTCTTTACGAAAAATGTTCTTTCCAAATTTTTCAAATTACATTTGCCTTGAAACCTATTGTGCTAATCAGCAATTCATTATATCTATCACAGAATCGTGAACTCTTTAAACTAAATACCCTGTCCGGAAAAAGTTGATATTTGACTATAAAAGTTTGATGTATATCGTAGCGCTACACGCCGGGTTCTTTGTTAACAGTTTTTAACTTCATGCTCTCATAATAACACGCCGTGTCAAATGAGGTGTAATGACGTAATATGGCGTCAAACTGAAATATATAACAAACACGTCTAAGGATGTGATGTCACAAATATTGATATGTTTTGCTCTCACTTGTTGCTGGCTTCAGAGTTCAATCATTTCCATCGTATTGGTAAGTAATTTGCCCCGGGTTTTCTTACAGTATGTAAAAAAAGTAAAGTATAACGCTAACACATGTATGTTAATATAATTAAAAACTCCCATCCGTCTAACGTTCAACCCTTCCAATGATAATGAGTAGTTCTGAGGTTTATACTAAGATGTAAAAAGTAAGTTGTCACAATGCAGTATTTTTTTCATCTTTAGATATCCCTAGTTTGTATAACTATAACTAAAAGTAAAACTGTTCGACATTGTCAGCTTTTCCTGTGTGTGAGATGTATATACATATATATTCTTATACCAATCTCAATTTTTCGGACTATCCTTATGAAAGCAATAACCTTACTGCCTCTGCATCAGCTGAGTGAATCGCTCAATGTACAGGTCCAGTACAGTGTTGAAGCAAAGTTATTCGCAACAACTAACGAATAATGTAACAGTGTTCAAAGGTCAGCATCCTTCGTCACAGTGACGTGCTAATCACCCTTTAGCTGAGCGGCCACTAACATAGTCTGCAAATTACAAATCCGGATGTTGTTTTTTTATTATTATTGTAAAGACATTATCAATCATGACCTTTTTATACTCCCAGCTCTTAGCAACGAATTGGTCTATCCTGTTTGTCGATCTTACGAAGCTGAGATCCAGGAAGGTTGTGTCTTTGAAGGTTTAGGATGTACTTTTGAACTCAACCTTACGTTGAACTTGGGTGAGTTGTACTGTTCTCCTTCTTGTTTGATAAGTTCATACACGATTCCTGTACTGTGAATAGTCCACCTGCATTTGAAATGTCAGAAATATTTCAAACGAATAATGTTACACGTATGCAAAATTACTCTCGTCTTCACGACCTGGTGGTAACTACGTCTTCTGTCAAATTTGTTTCAATGTACGTGTCGTGCATAAATGTCATAATGATCCGAATGATTTGGTGTGTATCAATCTACCAATCACGGCTGTTATCTAATTGGTGTATGGTTCCACTCCTTTCATTGCAGAACTCGCCATATCAAGTGCTAAGACACAATTCTTCAACAGTGGTGGTTTCTATGGAGACAAGTTCATCAAGCCACAACATTGTCACTATCTTGGAGTTGTAATGAGACGATGTGGCATAGCCCACGTGACAGAAACTGTTGGCAGAGCAGCCATCACGCTGTGTGGCGGTCTAGTGAGTAAATTTACGTAAAAACTAAAATTTGGGTTTTAAATGTCCATTAACACCACCTTACAGGAACTACTACAGTATGAATTCAAGTTTATAAATGGATTTTTAATTTTTAATTTTTCAAAAAACAAAAAGCGCCATTTGCGGCAAAATGTACGCGAACTTTTCCTCCGTTTTTTACCAAATTTAAAGTACTGGTACTCAGATTTAAGTCAACTAATGATACGAGTTTTGTAAATTCACAACGGGACACACAAATTCACTTCCCTCCCGTTTATTGCGCTGGGAGATACAGATAGCAACTTTTGAAGCGCCGAAGACAAAAATACCTTCCAACTGACAAGAGAGAAATTCACGTGAGTGATAAGGTGCTAGAATAACGAACCACCAAAGAGAACCCGTCAAACCAGATTGTCAAAATTCAGTGACATGCGAGCAATGAAACGACTGGGACACCAATCGCCGGTCATTCAATACAAATGTGAATGACTTAGACAAGTGTTTTTGGACAGACAAGACAACTTTCCCCATCAGTACAGTAGAGGGACACAAAACATACATCAACAGACCGTCGGGATCTCATTGAGCGCGAGAGAGCCACGAGACTATCACGTCTTCGCACATGCTAATCTTAGTAACAATGAACGCGTTGATTACAGAGACGCTACTTTCGTAGCTCTTTCAGTCTCGACGATCATTACTCGCGTCTAAGATATACTGTCCACATAAGTGTATTTTATTTAAAAGTTAGATTGAAAGTTTGTTTGATGAATTTGTAGTGTTTAAATCGCCGACAACGTGGAATGTCCGTGAAACTCGCGTACATGTTGTAACACAAGCTCACACGCGCTTGTGATGCCCTCTTTAGCCTATAACATGTGACGAGGTCCTGTGCTTGATTGTTTTTGCAGGGAGGTACCTTATTTTTTGAAGGCACGAGATATTCCGTAGTTCCCGTTGATCATACAGACCGTTTTGAAGGAACCCATATATTGTACGAGGACCCGGAGGCAAACCGGAAGTTAGATACTGTGATTGAAGTCTTCCGAGCGGAGGGTAGGAAAACAACCATGCTTATGTTAACTATTCAAATTAGATGGAGATACTGAATTGTTCGAG